AATGCTATAAAATATTTATTTCCAATGTGGAAAGGCAGCGTTCTAACAAAGCCTAAAAGGCAGATGGAACAGAGAGATAGCAGGGAGAGAGAGAGAGAGAGAGAGAGAGCCTTCACTGGATCAACGAAATATATAATGTGTACATCACTTTCAAAATTCTACCCAAATGGCCTACACCACTTTACCTACCCATCGTTTTAGCTTACTTTTGGCTAACTGCCAATAAAGCCCAAAAAGGTTTCTACGACAAATATTGTTACTGATTGACAATTAATCAACTTAATGGAACTGCCACCATTTAACCATTTTCATTCAAACATCCAACCCACACACACACACACACACACACAACAATTGAGATAGAATATTTCTAGGCAAAATGGACAAATCAATTTGCCAAAATGAAAGCCAAACAAAAACACCCGTCCCGCCCGCCCGCGATACATGACCCAAAATAAGAGGAGATCCACAGACAGGCCCGGCCTGCCGGCCAATGGACTGGAATTCCTGCCTGGGAAGTGAACTCCAAAAAGCTGAAAGCATAAATATTTAGACACAATCTATTTTATACAAATAAACTGAAGGATTGAGAGGAGCTCAACCGCCAACAATTGTGGGTTAAACTTTTACAACATTATTGAATACTCTTTGATTGCGATAGGTGAGATGGGGCATATGCGGCTATTGGGTTTGGTATGCTACTAAAAGTTAGAAGATTTGTATGCTAGTCTTATAATTATAGGGACAGTTCAAGCCGTTTAAAATCAAGCCAAACATATTGACTAATCTATTTTCTTTGAGAATAAATATTCTGTTAAACTTTTTGGCTATGATTTTCTGCTTCTAATGAAGCTTCTAGCTTATAAACGAAGCTAATGATCAACATTTCTAGTTTATTAAACATATTCTAGTATTTTAAATGCATTTTCTGGAATATGTATATTTTATAGTATTTTTCGGATATTTTTATCGTATTTTGTAGTATATTGCTTGTATGTGTCTAGTATTTTTTAGTATTATCTAGTATCTCGAAATTATTTTTAAAATTTTCTAACATATTTCCCGTATTTTTAAAGTCTTTTCCAATATTTTCTACTATTTGGAAAAGCTGTTCTGGTGTATTTTCTAGTATTTAACCTAGTATTTTCTAGTCTCTTTATAGTATTTGTTTAGTATTTATAGTATTTTTAATACATTAAGATATTCTTCGCATTTTAATCCAACTTGAAATCAGACTTCTTGCAACGATTCATTAAGATATTACTGCCATTTAGTTGCTATTTATAATCCCCCTAAAAATTCCTTGGGTATAATTTATTCCATCAACCCCCTCTCTATGTGTGCTGCTCTTTTTTCCCCCACAATTTGTCGCAAAGTTTTTTTTTTATTGTGTTTGGTGTGCCGCCATCGACTCCTTCTGGTTTTTATGGTCAATTTATAAACTCTGTTCTGTTCTATGGCTCTGCGAAAGTGAGCGAACCAAATACTTTTACATCTTTTGTGTGGCATATAATAATTTATAAGCCGTTTTTATGGAACTGTTGCTGGGGCACACACGCGGGGCACAGGCTCTCTATCCTGTGTGCCACACATGACAGAAAAGCGTTTTTCGAATGGTCAATTTGTTTGCAGAAATATTTAATGGTTGGGCCGGCATTGTTCCTCTTTTTTTTTTGGGTAGTTTTTGGCTGTATATTTCCTGATCCTCCGGATGTTTGGTTCTGCCTCACTTTCGGGTGCTCTCCTATCCAGTATTCCTTCTGCCACCTTTCAAGTAAATTCGAGTAAATTCAATTCTGCTTAAAATGTTTCCAAAGTAACAATTTGTGTGTGCTTGCGGGTGAGCCCTGTAATTGCATAGAGAGCGAGTGTGTGTGTGTGTGTGTGCTTGTCTGTGGTGACATATGCCAAAAATGTGACTGCAATGAAACCGGAAACGAGCAGCCGAGTGAAACTACAGTCACAACAAAACACCAACACTATCCATACATTTTTGGGGGGGGGGCTTTTGGCGTGGACATTGTGTGCACTCAACTGTACCGAAAGTCTTCAGTGTGTCTGTGTGTGCGTGTATTGTCCTTTCTGCTGTTTGCCTTGTTGGGTTCTGTGTATTTTATGACTTGTGTAGTGTGTCCTCCCTGCCCTTCTCCTCCTGCTCCAACATCTTCTTGGCATTTCAAAAAGTTTTTGCAATGGAATTGCAAGTTCTACATTTTCCACATTGCTGCTGTTGTTGCTGCTGCTGCTGTTGTGGCTGTTGCTATTTGGGTTTTTAGCATGTGACGCCATTTGTGGCATCGTCCAGTAGTCTCCCTACCCAGTGCTCTCTCTAGCTCTCCCTCTTGGCTCCCCGTTGAAAGCAAAAGCAGGGTCCCCCAAAAACCCAATACGAAGGACTCTTTTTTGTACATCCTCAAGAAAAACGAGACACGAGAGCGAGAGACGAGAGACGAGAACGAAAACTAAAAAGGATGTAGAATTCTCAACCAAAAGTTCTAACGCCCGTTCCTTACACTATTCCCCTCTCTCTCTCTCTCTCTGTAATAGGTAGGCGGAGGGAGACAGCGGTGGCTGTGGGAGGTTTTCTCAAGTGCTGAACGTCCATTGTTGTTGCTGCTCTTGTTGCCTGAATGCATACCCTGTAAACTGCAGGCACAAAGTGGGGCATATCTTGGGTCTTAGAATAAGTTTAAGCCTAGGATTAAGACCTCAGTTGCTTAGGAAGAGTTGCAACTAAGCCCTAGAAGCTGCTTAATGGAAGCTGGCGCTGTGTTTAACAAAGTTTGGAGTCAGTAAGTCAGTGCTAGGTCAAAGAAAGTCCAGGGAAAAGTGCAACAATTTGAGGCAAGAAACGGTTTAAGCGGTTTAGTTGATGGTTCTTGGTTGAATAAGCCGCATTTTGTATAAGCAATAACCCTTTAAAGGTATACATTAATGATAATTGGTGTGAAATATAACAAAAAGATTTTTAAGAAATTATTTTCCCCATATAAAAAAAAAAAAACTCCAATAATAATTCGCGAAATTAAACCAAAGACTTTCATTTCCAAAAACCTTTCCGTACAGGGCATTCCGCATGTCTCATATATTTTCTAAGCATTTTTGTTATTGAAACCTTTTTCACTTATGTATTTGCTGTACCAACTAGTCTCTGGCTTCCGTTTTGTTTCCCTTCACGTGTATTCGTTGTTGTATGCCACATGCCACCTGCCACCTGCCACCTGCCTCTTTGCCTACCTTTTTCGCCTAGTTTTTTCTTCGGTGGCAAAAAGTAAAGGGAAATTCTTTGCTATAGTTTTTTTTCTTTGCTTTTTTGTTGCTGTTTCATTCAACGCTTTGTTTACGGCCAAATCCAAAACAATGGCATTTTTGCACATGAGCGCATTTAAGGCAAGTTCTGTCGTCGTCGTCGTCGTCGATGTTGTTGGTGTTGCACTTAAACTAAACTTTACAGCTGCTGCCTGCTGATGCTGCTCCTCCTCCTACTGCCCCTACTGCACTCCTTCTATATGACTCTTGAAATGTCTTCCTGGTCTCCGACTTGTGTGTTGAATATTTAATCCTTTTTTTCCCCGTTTCCCCCCTCATGGCCGGAGAGAAGTGAATTATTACGGAGCATCTTTCCGCCTCAAACCGAAAGGCAATCTAGCACACAGTGGAAGAGTCCTGGTCCTGGTCCTGGGTGTGTGGGTCCTATTTGCTCCTTTGGAATTCCAATTGCCCGAATCATTCGACTCATTGGCCATTGCCATTTTACTTCTTCTCTTTTTTTTCTAACATTTTCTACTGCTGCTCTCCTTTTTTTTCTCCCATTTTCTCTGCTGCTCTCCTTTTTTTTCTCCCATTTTCTGCTGCTGCTCTTCTGTTTTCCCTCCAGTTTTACCCCAGAAACCGTTTTCATCCAGCTCATCTTTGTTTGCCCTCCGCATTAGTAATACAAATTGCACATCGAAAGAAAGTTCAACAAACTGCATTTAAAATGGAACAAACACACACACACACACACACACAACACTGCGTTCCAAAACTCTACATGCAGAAGGAAGGAGGATTGGCCATTTGTAAGCATTGCTCTTTTATCGATTCAAATAGAGCGAACAGAGATCTAAAGAAAATTTTAAATTAAAGCCAGAATTTGTCCAGCACAAACAATGCAATACGGGTGTGAGGAGGATTTCAAATGAGCCAAGAGATACAAGCTTAAAGCTTTTAAGAATTAATTTAATATTTTTAATATTTATTTTTGTTTTTATTTTATTATTTTTTTATTTATTTATTTATTAATGTAAATAGCTCTAAACTATTTGCACACTATTTCTGTTTACAGAGAAATTGAAATAAAGCTTTACAATATTCCCTTAACAGTGTGCTCGTGTGTTCCCCAACATTGCTATCCTAGCAGTTTTCCTTAACAGTGTTCTCTATCAAAGAGAAATAATGCCACAAATCTAACATATGTATACAAAGCGGACATACATATTTCAGCGAATTATTGTGAGTTATTTGAATTATTCCACACACAAACACACACACACACAAATCCATTCGCTCAGCCTCATTGCAATGGGAATTTATGCATATTTTTTGTCTTTTATTTCCTTAAAAAATAAATACTTTGATTTCACAGCTCTATAAATTCTTTCAGATTCCTTTAAATATTTATAATTCTATTTTCTACTGGAAGCCACTTTTATTTTTTTCAGCAAATATTTATTTGAAATCCAAAAAATCCAAAAATCGTTTTAAATAATTTCTGGATTCATGCAAACTCGAATAACTACGCGTATACAGAAATGCATTTAATTCTTGCATCATTTTTCATTTGGTTGACTTTTATACACCTGATAAAAATATAATTGAATTTTATGACCAAATAAAATTCAATTTATAGAAATTAAAATTCATTGAAACCAACAAAAAAAAACCCCCTCCAATGTATAACTACTGCGAATGAAGTAAGAAAATGTTCAAAAATATATACAAAAAAAAAATCAACTCACCATCAATATTAATTGGCGGAACCGCAATGGACTTTGGTTTCAAGATTTGTGTTCCGATTGGATTGTTTCGATTTTTGTTCGATTTGCCTCCTGCAAAAACAGAGAGAAAAGAAATGAATGTGGGGGAGGATATAAATATATATATAACTAAATTGATTTATGGCTGCGGCAGGAAATCGATGAATCAAGCGAGCAGTTAAACAATAAAGCCAAAAAGCCGGCACTTAAATAAATGACCAGCCAGCCCCAGCCCCAGCCCCAGCAACACAGCACAGGCTCTTTGTGCTCAAAATGGGAAAAAAATGATGATAATGATGATGATGATTACCCCCTGCAAGGACAGTGGTGTAGTCCAAAGAGGGGACATACTTTTGGAAGCATTCAGTCGAGGAAATTGTGCAGGAGCATCGAGGAAAAAATGTATAGATTTGGGGATTTTTAAATATTCGTATTATTATTTAAGTGCATTGCAAATGAATGTAAAGGCTAGTATGTAATAATTCACCAATGCCTCTGTCCACCAAATTACCGCAGAAAAACCCCCCACAGACAGACCCTCTCCACATCCATCAGCTCATAAACGTAGGACTATTATTTAACAGGACAATTTTGTGTGTTTATTGACTTTATCGAGTGTCAAAAATAGCATCATAATCAGTAGAGCAAATAAAAACACACACAAATACAAAAGTGGGCAAATACTCGCACTCCTAGAACACCACAGGACACCAAAGGACCTCCCCCCCAAAGACAGAACCATTAGTGAGTGGGGAGTGAGCGGCAGGAAGGGGGAGAACAGCGAAAACAATTTCCAGCACTAAATCAAAAAAAAAATAGGAAAAAAAACCCAGAACCCAGAAAACATTATGAGAAATCAACAACAAGAGCAAAAGGAGGAGAAGAAGCAACAGCAGCAGCAGCAGGCACCCAAAAGATGAAAAGGGAAAAATTGGAGCTCCCCGACTCCACACAGCGGGAGGAAGGCTGGGGGCAGGAGAGTACTCATGTCATATTATTGACGATGATGGCAGCGGCAGCATGATGGCAAATGAAGCAGCAGCAACACCAGCGAGTACCCCTAATGGAATGGGAAGGGTCTACTGTCGGTCCTGTACAATTCTGCTGGGTGGAGGGGGGCAGTATGGTGGGTGGGTAGGTGGGTTGCATGGCAGTCGGCAATTTCATCAGCTTAAACCGATGACAGTTGAAAAATGTGCTCCAACTTTTTGTTGTTGTTTGCTTCGTTTTTTTTTCTCCCCCCCACTCTGACAGTTTTCCTCACTTTTTTTGTTCGCGGACAATTTTCCTCACTTGCTCCCCGCCGCCACTACATTTACAGCACTTTCCAGCGATATTTTTGACTCACTTTTCCCACACATTTACCACACACTTTTCCTTCTTTTTTTATTCTTTTTTTGGTTGCCCATAGATATACATTTAAAAATTCCATAAAATGGCGGTTGACGTTTGACAGCAGGGCAGCGCGCTGCACAGCGGTGGAAGCTGTCAATGTGGCGGGGCAATGTTTGAAAGTTGGTTAGCCGGCGACACACAGAGAAGACGGGGCGCAGGGGGCAGCCTGCCTGACATTTCATAAAGTGTGGCATATGCCTGTGTGGCAGCGCCTTATGCAAATGACGCGTGGCTGGCTTTCCTTTGTGTGTGTGTGGCTTTCCGCGAGCAAATCGAAGCATCGATTGAGTCCCGCAGTTGTTCTGCTTAGCCACACTGTGTGTCTTGGCCATATCAAACGACAATTTGGGCCACAAAAAAAAAAAAAACCACTGTCAAAAATGGCCAACAACGACCGCAACTCTCCTGCCCACAGAGCCCACAAAAAGTTCTCCCCATTCGCCTGCGATCGATGCGCAAAAACTTTCACACGCCAAAACAATTTGTTTCAGTTGCCGGCAGGAGACAAATCCCTCGGTCCGGGCGATGTCCTGTGCATAACAAATATTGCCTGTAATTTAATTAATCCTCGAAATCCACGAAAGTATCAAAAGTTTTCGACCAGAGCAGAGCCAATAAAATTGGAAATGAGTGGCGGAGGGCACGAACAAAAGGGTGCAGAAATGGGCGTAGAATAAGGCAAAGAATGTGGGTTAGGTGGTGAAAGAGGGGGGGCTGGGTGCGGATATCAATTAAATGCAAAACACAAACACAAAACAAAAGCAGAGCGGGAGAACAGCAGAGCGGGATGTGGAGGTGGACCAGTGCCAGTAGATGGGCAAAAATCCTCCTCCCAGGATGATGGCCAAAAGACGGTGGGCGGTAGGTCGCAGAGGGGAGACGGCGGAGTAGCAGAACGATGAGCGGACGAGGCGCGAAAGCGATGGAGCGATTTTCTGGTGGCAAAATCTATTAGTTCAGCCCACCCCCTCGAAGAAACTTTCCACCAACAGAGACGATGACGACGACGACACACAACACACTTTGATTAATTTTAAGACAATAATCATAAAGGAGGTTTTTCGGTCTATCTATTCCGCCCACATCCTCATCATCTCAGCTTTCTGCCCTGCCTCTTTGCCTGCTTCACCATCTCGTTTTCTGCCTCTCTTTCACACTCATTTAAATGCGTTGAGGGAGCGCACGTGCCTGGGGGGGGGGGGGCATTTCCTATAGCATACTTAGGCGGGTTTTCCTCTTACACAGCCCAGGCACGTCTATCGTTCTGCTGCTCCCTCTCTCCCTCTCCCATGCTCTTTCTATCTCTTTTTACGTGGGTTAGTTAATTTTCGCCGCCTCGAAGTTCTCTTGGGCGCTAGAAAGACAGAGGAAGACCAAGAGAGTGAGAGAGAGAGAGAGACGGAAAACTTTAAGTCGATGGAAAACTTAATCAAAGTTCCTTACTGTATTTTCCACCGGAAAAGTTTTCTGCAACCGGCCAAAAGAGTTTTCGGGCACGCAACACTTTTGCCTGCTTCAGGCAGCGGCGGCGACGGCGGCCAATGGCTTCGTTAACTCGTTCTGCAGGGGGGGGCCGGGGATAGTGCCCCCTTCTCCACTATGCTACAGACCCAGTGGCACCTGCCACAAACTGTTTGCGTGTTTGAATGTTATTTATAATATGCTAGCCGCGCTGCTGCTTCGCTGCTTGGTTCTTGGGTCCTTCTGCTGCCGCCAGTCTTTTTGGCGGGGTGGGGTACTGGGTTACGGGGGGCGTAAGCAGCCTTCAACTTGACCAAATGTTCAACATTTCAAGTTTTCATCCTTAAAACCACTACAACGGGTGGGGGCCCCCATCTACCTTTTTCTTTTGGGGTGGCGCTGCCTTTGTGGCGTTTAACTTTTAATTGGATTTCAGTTCTTTTTTTTTGGCTTAGTTAATGGCTAAATGAACTTGCTCCACTACACGCTGCCTTTTGCTACACACACACAAAAATCACTGAACTTGAACATAAACTTTTAGGTTTGAAATAAATTGAGAAAATTGAGAAATGTTTTATCGGGTTCTTGTTCTGCTCAAAAATCTTTGAAGATTTCTTTAAGAATTTCTACCTTTTTTCACTGCAGTGGATCCTACATAACGTATCATCCACACACACACACACACACATTCCGCTGTGTAATTTCCATATAGAGTTCATTGAAATGGATTAAAACGAGGCACACAGAATTATTTCCATATTAGGTTCATTCAACTGGATTAAAACGAAGGAAGAAACCCCAGAAGAAACGCAGGCAATGAAACCCCAAAAATGGCAAGAAGGAAAGCCAAAAATAAGACAGAGAGCGGGAGAGAGAGAGAGAGAGGGGGGGGACAGGCAAATGTTAGCGAAATTGTAAAAGAAAATCTAGCAAGAAGTGCGGGAAAAATATATATGCAAAAATCTAAGAAGGAAATCTAGAAAACGAACGAGCGAGAAATTCCTCACTCAAGCAAAGGGAGGGGGTAAAAATTTCATAACAAGCGAAATGCCAAACCAATCGACGACCTCTCATCACCCCCTCAAACATTCCACATCCCTGACACCCACACACACACACACACACCAACACCGCTGCTGCCCTTATCCGTGCAAACACATTCAACATTCAAGCCATCAACAATTTATCACAGCACAAAACTGAACGAAATCTCATTTGCAAAAAGATGCTGGAGGGCAGCAAGAAAGCGCAGGGGGCGCAGAGAAAAAGTTTAGCAATTCCAAAGGCTCTGCAAGCGAGAGGGTGTTGGGTGGAGAAGCACTCAATGCTTGTCAAACTGTAGTACACAAACAAACAGAGAGAGAGAGAGAGAGGGAAAAGGCACAGTACTACGAGTAGTAGGTACATATATACCCTTTTGGTAGTGGAGCGTACAATAAAAACATGACCAAAAAACCGGATGCTTGGGGACAAAACAGATTTATGTTTTATTCGTGCAACAAAAGGCAGAACGAGAACGAGAAAGAGAACATCCATCCAAAGCGAAAAGGAAAATGCGAAAAGAAATGCGTGTAAAGGGGTTCCGTTCCGTTCCGTTTCGCTCATTTCCCAGGGACTCTTCGGAGGGAAATAAATAAGGATATAATGTTTAACTTTCGCCCCAGCCGAGACAATCAAATTCTACAAGTTGCGGGTGTCCTTCCTTCCTTTCTTTCCTCCCTCCCTCTCATCCATCGCACTCCTTTTTTGCCACAGGAAAAGGGCTTTTCTCATTTATCAAAAATCTGTTTTGTGGGTGGGAGTGCGGGTGAAATAAAGAAATATGCGATTGGAGTCTCTTAGCAATTTACAATGCTGATCCCGATATGATTGCTCTGCAAAACGAGCGAACTGGAGAGGAGAGATGGAAAATGCCCTGGAAAATGCTATGGAAAATGCTTTGCAAAATGCTAAAAAATTGTTGTTGCTAGACGCGTGCGGTGCTCCTTTTTATGGCATTGAAAAATGATAATTTCAACAGCGGGCAGCAGTAGACAACAAAAAAAGTGAAACAGAGAGAAACAAAGGAAAAGTCAACAAGCACTGGGACTGGGAGTGGGAGTGTTGTGGATGCCGCAGCAGCAGCAGCAGGCAGACAGACAGCAGCCACTTGCTACTATTTGAGGAATGTGTCACCTTTCTCGTGCGCCCTTTCTCACACTTCCTTCCTCTGTTCA